GGTCTGTTAAAAAAAAGCTTGAAGCGATTTCTTTCCGAGTAGACTTTTGAAAAGTGTAGCAAAAACATCTTCGTGTTTGCGTTATCAGGGTTATAAAAACAATGGTCAATGGTACGCAATGATGACATGCAAGGCGCTGCAGCTGAAGATATATCTACTCTCAAGGACATGAAGAGGTCAAACTCACGCCTTGTGTTGATTTCAGTAATAAACACGATGTGATCGATCATTTGATTGGTCCCTTTATGTGTGCAAGCTGACACCTCTAAGGTCGCAATATATGGCATGCACATCAAATAACAAAGTCAATAGAAAAAAAATAACATTTCAAAATCTGGGTTGATTACGTCAGCGTTTTGAAATTTCACACAACAATGCTGTCATTTCCAACTTACGCTTGTTTTTTTTTTTTTTTTTTTGTGAAACCATGGGAACAAATTTGGAATTGTAAAAAAGAGCTGTCATTGATATTTCGCTAGATAGCCCATTTAATGCCGTGATGCCAACAACTACTAGTTATTTCCCTATATATCACTAAATACGTCTACCAGAACGCAATCGCTAACGCAATGTTTCATTCAACTGAAGAAGGTATATTTGGAAAAAAAAATATTTACATTTCGACCTTTGTTTCAGATTTAATTTGATATCTTCAACCATTTGGAAGAGTGAACGATGTTGTCATCTTAGATTTTTGAAACATTCAAACGCTATCAAGACAATAACCTTCCGTTAACTCCAAGCAAATGTTGGGCGGTCTTGGCCTCGGGCCATAAGTGATGCCCATTATTTTATCAATCCCGGGGTACTTGTACCAGCTCATGAAAAACAGCTGAAATGAGATAGTCCTTTTATAAATAAAGTCTCTCTCAGTTCTATGCATAATGACAAAACCGTAAAGTCACATTTGTATGAATATCTAAAAGTAAGAGCTGGTTTTTCAAATAAAAAATAACGTCAGTGTTCCTGCGTTCGTCCACAATATTTCCCGCCGTGGGTAGATGGCTCAACCTTGGGATAGTCCCCTAATGTCCGTATAGTAATGGCTTTTATGCCACTTCAAATCAATATACATGATCAACCAAATCAATGGCGTATCCAGCGGGGGGCGTGGGCAACTTCCCCCACCCCGACGGATTTTGTGTACGTAATTGGTATATTTATTTATCAAATATTAGCACTAACCCCTAAGATACAACCGAGGATGTTGGGACTGCGGTTAAGGCTTTTGGTATTTTTCTCCCTAAACGTCATGTTGAATGAGCTCAAAGCTACATTTGCCTTTAAATTTGCCGTCCCCCCACACACACACGCACCAAAAGCTTGGTACGTCTGAACGCCATTTCCCTGGACAGATAGGTAGCTTTTCCAGGTACCCAAACTCCAACATCCAGTAAATCAACATTCTCATCATTTGTTTTTTAACTGTGCCTCGTTCATAACTAAGTCCTGAATGTTAAAAAGTCACATTATCTTTCCCTGATTCACAGATAAAAAAAAATTCTGTCGTCTGAGATGTTCCCCGCTTGGAATCTCTGTTGATAATAATTACAGCTAAGCACATGACGAAGGGGTGTTACTGCACTCCAGGAGAAGGAACTGCCTTAACGGGACGGGGGTATCAACGGCAAAATCAACAGCAAAACCGACCCGATCCCAAATATCCCATTAGTCCAATACAGAATAGCACCCGCCCAAGGATTAGGGATTGCGGCTGCGAGTTATTGGAAACTTAATGTGATTTTTTTCGTGTATGTCTCTTGGCGAGGTAGTGACTTATTCAGGTTTTAGACACACATGCAAAAAAGAAATCTTCAGTAGGTGAAAACAGTAAAGTCCTCGCTACCGAATCTATACTACTGACATAGTTGCAATAGGTTATCAACCAAAGTGACCTTCTACAACTTCAAGGTGACAATGTAAACTGGCCATCAAGTCATTTGTATATCTTATCTACAAATTACTTGATATTTGCTTGGCAATGCTCTGTCATCAATTCACCCGCCTATAGACAATAGTCTCTCCAGTCTGAGCTTACTGCACTTGAATAAGAGTTATCTCAATGGTATCAAATGGTATTAGGTTTAATATTGAAAAAAATGGATCATAAACATATCTAGATTCCGAAGACCCAAGTATAGTGAGAGCGTGTAAATTGAAATTCGACTTTCTGTTGTCTATTCAGATATTCCCGACCACTCAGTAGAAGGAGGTACGATTCCTTCCATTATCTTCAAGCAAACTTATAATCAGTTCTGATTGATCGATCCATGGTAACGGTGTGATATATAAATTTATCTTAGGGCAAACTTGAATTCTCAGTTCTGATTGGTCGTTCCACGGCAACAAGCAGTGTGATATATGTAACAGTTCTGTAGGGTTCATATCAAACCCCGCGTAATGGGCTGTTAACTCAACGCATTGCGCTATTTTGACACTAAAAGAAAACGCACATCTGCATGGCCGTAAATTCATAAGTGGCGTGTGTCTTGTCAGTGGCTGATTGTTGTGTTTAAATGCGCGTACAATTCTAACACCTTCCTTTCTTAGTGTAAGCCCTGTTGCTATCATTGTTATTGAAATAAATTAAAACGCAAATAATTCCCATGCACTCTAGATAAAATTGCAGAATTGTGGTACGTCGGTGTTACCGTTTTTTTCTGTGCGCCGTATGATATCTTTTGTCTCCTTTTTTAATATGTAAAGAGCGATAGGCCCCTTTACTCTCTTTACTGCGCGTCAGGTTTGCTTGAAGATAAATTCGTTATCGCGGCCGCACTCTTGGAACAAGGAATATTGTCCTACCTCTGTCTTGGATACTGTCCGTTTATTGGCCCAGAACGATCACATGACAGGACAAAATATCCCCATATCACACTCACTATGAGAAATCTTACACCTCATAAATATTCACGAGCAAATCGGAGCGCGTCATTGGCCGATTTCACCTCGCGCATGTGAAGTAGAAATGATACGCGAACAGGCGACGTCATAGTATCCACCTTGCTGCCGTGTGGTAGTTTTTTCTGGTGGCATCCAAAAACCCTCTTGAACCCGCCGCGTAAACATGTAGTCTATGTCATGTAATCTTTACGGAACCAGTCTAGAGTTGTATCCTAATAACTATTGCAGTAAAGACCCAAAACGTATGTCAGCACCAGACTATTGAAGCCTGTTTCTATGCATATCCGCACTCCACTATCGTTACATGGAAATTTAGCAGCTGAGAAACTACATGGCGTCTGTGAGTACAAGTAACGTGAGACTTCTGTTTGAATATTTATGAAGTGTGGTAAAACAAATACAGCATAGTGGGAATTACTGGTCCCGAGGTGTAGGTCAGCTTGACTACCTCCCGACGGTACTCGAACTCAAACATCAGATGTGTATGCGATTGTGGCGACAAAATTACGTCACTGGATGTCAAATTATAGCTAGGCGATTTTTTAGAAGCGTTTTAAGAAAATCCTAATCAACAAGTCCTTCTACTCACCTTTAGGTCAATGGAGTTTCCCGCGACTACCCTCGAGAGAAACGCACCGTGCGACTTGCCATGAGACCGTTTGCCTGCGTCCGATTGTCGCTTTCTAGTGACCGAGCGACGACTGTAATACTCATGCGTGTTATTAAGCATGCGCCGGAAGAACGGAAGAATGAAACTGATTGGACAAGGTCCCACGTAACGAGTCATTCAAGTAATCATGTTCTGGCTAGAGTTTGAGCAATTTCGAAGAGAAAGATACTTTTCTTAAGCAAAGTACCGTAGAAAGTATTAAAAATATTGGCCTAAATCTAAAAATCACATATAGTAAAAGGAGAATCAGTCCAGTCACACTTTCTTTTTCTTCTCATAAATGCTAACTCGAAATGTGAGCAGTGAGAATATTATGTCGTATTAATTAAGCACAAGGACGTGCCGTCTTGAAATTTACGTCTAAACCCTAAATGAGCCAAGAATCCACCCTCCCCCTCGACTTGACTCAAGTCGGGATCTCTGTGACGTCTTTAATCATGCTTTGGATTCATTATCGAGACACCGCGCCGTGTACTTCTTCGCGCCCTCTGGTGTTTACTTATACTGTGGCCGAGTTCGGGCGGCTTGTTCTCGTATGTTTACGAACAGCTTGATTTGCTCGTGGGTAGGCCGCTCGAACGCCGGGAATGTACAAACAGTTATCGCCACTACTTATTTGTGCAAGCAACATGCAACACGGCTGCGTCCTTTGCATTCTTTGAGAGTTAATGTTTGGATAACAAATCCCGCTTTGACTACACAGCGAGTGGGCTCATTCACCAAAGTGGTAGCAGTCAATCACATTGCCGGACTTGTTTTTACGTCCTTCATACGCACATTATAATGAACGAGTTTATAAGTCTAACTACTTTGATTGGTGGAAATTCCGTACACGGTATGCAAAATCTGTTGTTCGTATGCAATTACGAATAACTACATATTACCGACGGAGTCCCATTGGCTTATCCGTCAAGCTCCGGACTGACTGACCGGTGACGTAAGACACACGTTGTACAATAAAGGCTATCCTGTTCCAAAAACAGCGTTCTTGGGTCAAATTTCAAGAACAGCCTGCCCGCGCGGCGGCGCTATATCTTGGTCTGGATCCGCGTGAAACAAACAGGCCAGGTCTCAGGCACTAATAATTTAGGATCATATTAAACCCTTTTTCTCATTCAGTATGTCCTCAGATGGAAGCCCAATCAACATGATCAAGGGGTAGACCCTGGTGAAAATTTGCATCTGGGCTGTGAACCCTACAGAATATTCTGGTCGGAGACAGAACATTTATTTAAAAGTCCTGCAGTTTGATTGTTGGGACAAGGTCTGTAGCACACTGGCATTCATGAATATTGTTCCAGGGTCAAGAAGACGGCAGTTCTAGTCTGCATGTACAAGTCTACTCATTAAAGACGACTGAAGGACAGATACAAGTCTATGCACCATGATAAACAGCGAACCCATGGTGGCGCTGTAATACGGACGTTGTTTGGATTAATCCGGAACCGAGTTACAGTTCTTTGTTTTTATTGGCCAGTAATTGCACATTCTGATTGGTTGATGCCAGAATCCTTCCCGCGTAAACAAGAGGTATATAAACCCGCTTTAGCTTCAAAAATTATCAAGCAACTTCAGTGTGTTTCTTCAAATATTGATCTTCTAGTCTCCGAAACTGACAATGTCTGGACGTGGTAAGGGAGGAAAGCAACGCGCCAAGGCCAAGAGCCGATCTGCCAGAGCTGGTCTGCAGTTCCCCGTGGGCCGTGTCCACCGTTTCCTGCGCAAGGGCAACTATGCCGAGCGTGTGGGTGCTGGTGCCCCGGTCTACCTGGCTGCCGTCATGGAGTACCTGGCCGCTGAAATCCTCGAGCTGGCCGGAAACGCCGCCCGTGACAACAAGAAAACGAGAATCAACCCCCGTCACTTGCAGCTGGCCATCCGCAACGACGAAGAGCTGAACAAGCTTCTCAGCGGTGTCACCATCGCCCAGGGCGGTGTACTGCCCAACATCCAAGCCGTTCTGCTGCCCAAGAAGTCTGCAGCCGGCAAGGGCGGGAAGAAATCCTCGCAGTCCCTGGAGTACTAAACGACGACCGGCCAAGCCCGCTCCAAAACCAAACGGCTCTTTTCAGAGCCAACAAACGACAAAAGAGATTATTTCCAAGTCTGCGTGGTGTTCCAAAATCAAACAAGCTTGCGGTCTTAACTGGGCCAGGATATGTGCAGAGTGGAACTTGACACAAAACATTTAGGCCTAGGCCTACCATACAATGCCTCGCCTGAAATGGCATTGTACGCCTTTGGGGCTGTTTCATTCGATACTGTGACCCAGCAGCGTTTATGCAGTGAAATGAATTGAAACTGTCCTAACATTATACAATTCAATGTCGTCTTACTCAGGTTTTTTTGTTGTAGGCCTATTCTCATTCCTATCCTGGAGCACGGATTGCATAATTTATAAACTGTGAATTTGGGGCAATGAACCCCCCCCCAAAAAAAGAAACTTCTCTAAAAATTGACGAGATGATATTTCCCTCCCAAAAGCATGCAAAAAGCCCCAAAGTAGCTTTCCCCTCAGGAAGGACGAAAGGTTACATGAACAAATATTTGTACATAACTGTATGTACAGTACATGTATGATTTCAGTCTCCCCCCTCAAGAATTGAAGATGTGGTTTCTGAATTCACCCTTGACTGAACAAAAGCTCAATCTCAAATACCTGTATGTGCTTTCTAGTCCTTCAGGCTTAGCCACCGTCCTCATCCCAGGCTTCATGTCCAAAAAAGACATTTTACTAGCATTAAAATCAGTAGCATAGCTGGGGCTATTTGTCCAGAAGCGCCTGTGGGTGCACAAACTTTTTCAAGGGGGCATCACAAGAAATAATATCAGCTACATATCTGAAGAAACTCGAAAGAGATTGTTCGCAGATTTCAAAGGGGGCGGGCACGGGCATCCCCCCATAGTCTGTACAATTGTGAGTGTGCGCATACATGTACACTGTACAGGTGAACCTCAGTCCTTTGGACAGATTACATGTACATATATTATCAAGTATAAAAAACAACAAAGGATTTAGACCTTAACATTTCCTTAAAAGTAGAATGTATTATGTGCTCACAATATATACAGTGGCACACTGTTATGAGATAACATGGTCCTTGGGACTAGACTTCACAGATTACCTTGTTATAACACCTTGCATTATCGGTAATGAAAAACAAAGACTTGGGACCATGTACATGTATACTGTATGTAGATAACCCAGGAAAGTATATGTACGAGGTAAAAGCTTATGTTCCAAGTCAAAATATCTGGGCAAAATGTCACGGGCAAAAATTTGGTTTGAGACCAAATTGAAGGGCCATCGACTGTTCAACAGTATGCAAGTGCAGAAGCTTAAGTGCATAATTTGGAAAAACTCCATGGCCCTCCAATGCTACGGTCTGTACGTAATGCGCAGGGATAATGGTAATAAGGGTGTAGAGACATTCCGTAATAGGCACTATACAGTATAAGAACTCATCAGTGCTATTACATGTACATGAACAAGACACTAATATCCAAATTGGATACTTCATTCAACACTTGATGTTCAATCATGCCGAACAACTTCAACAGCTTTGAATTGATTTAATTTCATTCAAAATAAATATGACTGTTGCGATTACAAAAAAAGGGACCCGTGTTGCTACTTTGTTCCCCAACCAAATTCCTTTCTTATAGTTCAAGAATATTGCATGTTCATTTTTTCACCAAACACAACAAAGACGGCACATTGGAAACCTATTGCCATAAACCCTGCTTAGCCTCACTGCTTATGGGCAGAGAATGCGAATGATAGACCTCTCAGTACACACATGTGCATGTATCACAAACATTTTGGCTAGATCTGGCTGTAGCAACAGTCAAATCTCCACGTTGTGCAACCTGTTGGATCAAGTACATGTACAAAACTTGTGCAACCTGAACTTGTGCAACCTGTTGGAGCATGTACAAAACTTGTGCAACCTGAACTTGTGCAACCTGTTGGAGCATGTACAAAACTTGTGCAACCTGTTGGAGCATGTATAAACTTGTGCAACCTGTTGGAGCATGTACATGTAGAAAACTTGTGCAACCCGTTGGATCAAGTACATGTAGAAAACTTGTGCAACCCGTTGGATCAAGTACATGTACAAAACTTGTGCAACCCGTTGGATCAAGTACATGTAGAAAACTTGTGCAACCCGTTGGATCAAGTACATGTACAAAACTTGTGCAACCTGTTGGAGCATGTACAAAACTTGTGCGACCTGTTGGAGCATGTACAAAACTTGTGCAACCTGTTGGAGCATGTACAAAACTTGTGCAACCTGAGCTTGTGCAAAACTTGAGCATGTAGAAAACTTGTGAGACGTCTGTCGGATCAAGTACATGTAGAAAACTTGTGCAACCTGTTGGAGCATGTATAAACTTGTGCAACCTGTTGGATCAAGTACATGTAGAAAACTTGTGTGACTTGTTGGAGCATGTACAAAACTTGTGCAACCTGTTGGATCAAGTACATGTAGAAAACTTGTGTGACCTGTTGGAGCATGTACAAAACTTGTGCAACCTGTTGGAGCATGTACAAAACTTGTGCAACCTGTTGGATCAAGTACAACCTGTTGGAGCGGGTGGAGGTTGCAGACACTACACAGAATAAAATAATCATGAGTACAGTTGAACACCGTCATAACAAGGTCCTTGGGACTTACCAAATCAGCTCGTCATTAAGGGTGGGACATTTACACGTTTACACGTTTCAACATTTAAATGAAACAATTTCCAAATCCGTTTACAGATTTTCCCATTAATGTTTAAACCCTGTTACATGTAAGTCAAACCTCAATAAAAACAGCGCTGTACAAATTCTCCTTAAAACAAAGAAAATTTTAGGTCCCATTCATTTATTTTGCACTTTCATTCCTGATAAAACGTGTACAAGATTCCTGTTACATGTTCAATTCAGGTACATGTAATCGGCCAAGTCTAAGAGACCTCTTATTGATGGGGTTCAACTGTATAAACATGACAGTATTGCAGTCGAGACCTCTTAAACAATCCCAAACCACACCAGACAATCACAAATCACCCAAGACCAAAAGACCAACATAATACCATCACAAGACCTCCAGTCTCAATAACACTTTTTCGAGTTAAATTTGAATGAAATCTGGTACACTGAGTTCTTTAAATTTACGTGAACCTAACAATTTGAATTCTCCATACTAAAGCCACTGTTCCTATACCTCATGACCTTTTGCTTAGTTACATAAGAGACACCATGTGACAATACACCGTTCTCAATGGATAAGAAGGGCACAAAGGAACCAGTCCACTCCGGAGATGATGGTCGCTATGCAAAGGCTTGCTCCGAATCACAAGGTATAGCAACAGTCTCTTTTGTCTGGGGAATTGAAACTGTATAAATGTTTAAGTGTAATCAGATAACAAGGTGTACCAGATATTACATCTACATGTATTCAAATTTAACTCGCAAAAGGCTTATTGGAGTCACAATTTATTCAAATGAACTGCAAGAAAAGCATTCCTTGGTCATTGTTCACACTGTTGCTTGTGACTGGTCTCATGATTAGTCTTGTGTCTGGTTTTGTGCATGGTCTTACGAATGGTCTCGTGATGGTCTCGACTACAACACTGAAACATGACTTTGAATTGTCAGTGCTGTCCCACTGTTGTACTCAATACGGGCGATTCACAATAGTGCGCCACCAAGAGTTTGCAACACGCTGGCCAATCATAATGCGGGAAATTTCCAAACGCGCATTGGGTCGACAAATTTTGCGCATTGGGATTGGCCAACGCGTTGCAAACTCTTGGTGGCGCACTATTGTGAAACGCCCGTATTATGAGTCAAGGTGCACAGGAAATGCAGCCCTCCCTCTGCATATCTTTTTCTGCACGAAAAATTGAGACTGGAAAAAAACAGCTTTGAATCAAACACGCGGTGAGTTATCGGGTCAGTGTTCATGGTGAATAGATATTACAAAAGTACCTCACTTATAATAGAATCCAAGATTTTACAGGGCCCTTAAGCCGACCCGGGCCCTACACCCCTTGCCTCTTTTTGCTCACACTTCCTTCTTTTACATACATAGTGTGGACGTTCCTTTTAGTCTCCTGTGGGTGCAAAAATGATACTCCTTCCAGCTGGCTTTTGACGATTTCCTGAACCGTTCCTCTTTATTTTGCCACAGATCATCCAGACCCCAAAATGCTCTGAAGCTGTTTTTTCAGAGACGAGAAACAACGCGTGGACTTTTTTGATGTGGAGGTCCACCTTGTGTGCGCCGTTAACCTGTCATTCACTTCAATTAATTTATTGTCCAATAATGGGAAATTCTTCTTACTCGCATTTACATTTGAACATTGTAATACAAACAACACAAAACTATGTCATCAAAGACTTTGGGTTTTTGGGCAGAAAATGGAGTTGCCCTGAGCCTATGGATCCACAAATACAGTTTCAGGGAAGACATTTGAGACTTTCTATGTGTCTTCTGATATTCGTTCTCAGGCTGAATTTTCAGGTGTACTCGCATCTTTGGAAAGAACAGGTAATGAAATATCACCAGAGCATTGCCAGTCTTTCTATGATTTAAACACTTAAAACTTTGCCTCTTTTTGGAATTGCCGGGGGGGACAGCCCCAAGGGGTTATTGCAGCAAGATGACATCTTCAAACACTCTTCATGAAATGGATGAGAAACGTGAGATTTCAAAATCCCAATGGTCTTTCCACGAAAGCATTAGTGTCAACATCTAAATCTGATCTGCATTCATTCATAAATTAAATAGATTTGTTGTGGCACTTCGCCCGGATCCTGCTCCGAGTCACCCGATTCTGGTATGAGGACCACTGTTTCCACGGCAACATCCTCCTCCGTGGCAACAGTCTGCCCGCCAGGCTGTGTGGCAGACGCCGAGGCCGGCTCGTCCCAGACTCGCTGCACGATCCCCTCACTGTTTAGCCTGTATCTGATCCCGACCTCGCCGCCTCGGCTGTCGTCGTCCTCCATCTCGCAGGAGTTGTCAGCCTCTCCAGGGGAGCAGCTCTCCTCTGGCTGCGGCTCTTGCTGCTTCTCTTGGTGCTGGAGCTGTTGTTGCTGTTTTTCCTTCAGAATCTGCTCCGTCAGCTCCAGGCTCTCGAAGCGCACCGTCTGCAGGCGATACAGCCCGTCCTCTTGCTTCTTGTACCTACATATTATAAAACACACAGTCCATTGCAGTCACCTCTTGTGACAAAAAGACCGCCAAGTCTAGCACCTTCTTGTAAATGGACTGAAAAAAGTAAAGGATAACTATGTTACATTTGTCACAAACGCTGAGCGTTGTTTGGGCTACTTTTTGTGATGCTTGTTGGTGGAATGTTACGGTCATGAGATTCACTCAGACATGTGCGCAGCTTTTGGAAAATAGACCGTATTCGCGGCGTCCCCAATTTCAGTCGTATTCCTGAACGTACAGTATCAATTTGATACCCGTGATGGGGTGGTACCAGGTGATTTGGGGGGTCGGAATGAAATTGTAGAATATAGTCAGGTTCTTTGAATTTAACATTTTCAAATAAATACACTACGTTGAGGAATACAACTGAAATTAGGGCCGCCGCGAATACGGTCTATTGTGAATTGTAGATAATGTCATATCACATCACACACGTCTTCATTGCACCGCTGTAACTTTGACTTATAACACAGTCCAGCGTATAGATATGCATGGTAATATCCGATCCAATCTGATGTACAGTTCCACAGATATTGCCCTGTGGATTGAAGAGGGCACCCATCTATGGCATCACATATCACGTGCGCACCTTTGACCATAATGTAAAATATAAAAATACAATATCCTGGAATATCTGGTGCGATAAAAAAAAAAATCCAATAAGCAAGGAGAAAAAACAAAAGCTGTTCTGGCTTTTGTGTCAAAACAGCTAACAAGACAACGCCTGAGACTTAAGACTTCGGAATTATTCTCTGTAATATTATTTTGTTACATGAGAGATTTCTGAAATCATTCGATTGGCTACATCCTATGGGCCATTGACGGCACAAAACATTTGCAGTAAAATTTGCCTGCGTTGAAATAATATTGATGAGATCAAAGCAATTGTAAGACGCAGAGATATCTACCAGTACTTGTCAATCAAAAGTCAGGTGCCAATGTACTATTATCTCCGCAATATCCAAATATTCCTCAGCTCCCTGGGGAATATTCTAGCCTGATGCTGCCACATCAATCACAAATGGCTAAACATGATAACAGTATCTGCCCTCACAGGTTCCCACTTACTCCTGGATGGAGGGAGGCAGGAAGGGGTAAAGTGACTTGCCAAAGATCAAAATATTATGCTACCACCAGCTGGATTCGAACCCTTGACCCTATGATCGGAAGCAGTAAAACCTAACCACTAAGTTACATGCCCCTGACATGTATTCCACTTCTGTGATGTCCAGATTCTGCATTCGTGTTCGCTTTCACTGTACAAAAACATGCCCTCAAACATGGAAATCTGATTGATTTGCATATTCTCCGATCAACAGAGTACCCTCACCTGAATCTACTGTGTCCGGACGGCCACTTAAACTTGTGTTTCACCTTGAGATGTCTGGTGAGAGTTGCTCCGCAGGAGTAACGCATCCCGCAAACGTGGCAAGCATACGGTCGTTTCTTTTCATTCTGCATACCAAAAAAATGAATCAATTTAAAATCTTGTGCTCAAAGCTGGGAAATGCTTTGGTCAAAACTAATGTACATGTTACGCAACATCTCTCAGATGGTGACTTCAAGATTGGACATGTGCCCTCTTTCCACAAAAACAAAATGGTCAACTTGAATCAAGACTAGTACATGTGTTCTGTCAGTTCATTTGCTTAAACTGTGGCATGGTAACACATGCCTATCTGTTTCCTTCAGTCCGAAAACAGGCAGATCAACTTGAATCAAGACTAGTTGTTCCTCATTGCCCGTGCTTTATAATACACTGAGGCATTGTAATGTCCCAAGAGCTGAGTTACTTCTGTGCCCTTCCCTCCCCCCCCCCAAAAAGGATGATGGACTTGAATCAAGACCACATGTAGTTCTTCTCCGGTCCACCCACTTACAGTATGGCATCGTTTCATGTGCCTGCGCATGGTGGTCATGGCATAGGCCGTATAGTGGCAGCCTTCCTCGTCACACATCATGAGGTTATCGGGCAAGTGGGTGGCATGATGCTTGCGTAGAGCATTCAGCGATTTACAACTGGCAAAATGAAATTAGAAATGTGTTGGTGATAATTGCATCTGTTGTGCGCATGCAAAAGTCACCGACAAATAAACGTCTTCAAAGCTACACATCAGCTGCACGGCACCTGACTAAAATGAACACATGGGCAAATCCAGCCCCTCGGTTACATTGAATAATACTAAGCACAGTTGAGGAATTCCAGTCTTGAAATGCTGTGAGACTATGCTTCAATACAGGCGTTTCACAATAGTGCGCCTCCAAGAGTTCGCAACGCATTGACCAATCACAGCGCACGAAATTTGTCGGCCTAAGGCGCGTTCGGAAAGGGTCGACAAATTTCGCGCGTTGTGATTGGCCATCAGTTAGTTACACTTATAGAGCCCCTGTTTATGCACAATTCCATTTCATGGGCCACGTCTCTGGAATGATATCAGTGGGACTAAGGACGATGAAAACACAGCCGTCTCTGGGCTGCTTTAAGAAATCTTACGAAGTGGATTTGATCTCTGATTATGTAGCATAGCTTCTCTTTTTAATCATTATTCTAGCATTTTGTCTTTTTCTCGTTGTTGCCTCTTATTCCCACTTGTTTTCGCATGCGCGTACTGCTCATTAAAGATTTCATTTTGTTTGTTTATCTCTGATAGTTGTTTCATGTTTCTTGATCTTGGCATGGCAATATAAGCCCTTGGCTTCTGCCTATGCCAACATATTGCTCTGTACATTATCTTTTGTGTTAATTAATTCATTCATTTTCTTTATTACTTGTTACATAATTTTATGATCCTCACTTTAGACGATCACGTTGTGTAACAAACCTTTGGCCTTACTTTCCTTTTGTAATTTTCAGAAAAATGGAAATAAACGTGTTTGTGAAGGAATGAGAGTTTGATTCTTGGCAGTATACAAGGATCGGTGTGGCCCGTAAGGGGATTCTCTCTTTCCAAACAAGATTGTTGAGGGCACGAATGGGTATGAAGAGTTGAGTGTCACCTGTGGTCGCAGAGGTCACACTGGAACGGCCGGTCATTGGTGTGCTTCCACTTGATGTGAGCCTTCAGCATAGAGGGATTGGTGCACGTCATGTCACAGTTGGGGCATTTGTAGTGGTTGACTGCAACGAACCGTGTAAAAGACAGGGTGGTAGGAAGCAAGGACAGGGTGGGGCGAAGTGAGGGCTGACTGCCCAAGAATTTCCCCCCCCCACGGGTTTAGGTTCCCCCCATAGGCATGCATTCAGTGAAGTCACTTGCCACACAAGTCTCTTAAAATGTGCCAGTTGGGCGGAGGGAGTTTCCCCCGCCGTTTTTCTTTGGACGCTATACATTTTTTGGCTCCTCCCCGCAGACACGGCCAAGTGTTCATGCCATGGACCTACTTGTCTTCCCCAACACGTTTCCAAAAACCTCCGCCCATGCTCTTACTCTCCCATTTTGAGCTTTGAAAAACTCAACATCCTCAAACAATCGCATCAACAAGCAGCAAAGCCAGGAAAATTAAACGGGTTACACTTGAATCACATACCATGATGCCTCATGTGGTCTCTTAGCAACCGCTCGGAGGCAAAAATCTTGGAGCAATGAGAGCACTGGTAGTTTTGCACTGAAGAAAACAAAAGCAACGATTGTAAACAACGCTGGGTTTGATTTGACAAAAACCCTGAGAGAAAACAAGAGATATTTCACATGCTGATAGTGTCAAGTTTGTGTGACCTCTGGTCGACATACGGAACACACTAGTATCCGCTGAGTGTCATTTGGAACAGATGTATCGGTGGCAACTGTTGCTATGCTTACTACGCATCACTCAGTGAATATGTGCCGCTCTCGCCCATTTCAAAACCTTGTAAAATGGAAAAATGCGGAGACATGGCTGCCATTCTTGGGGGCACTGCTGAAATTGTTTAACCCTAACCCCAAAGGGAGTATGTAAAATCGTATTGAAATTGGAGGAATTTAGGACTGTTGGGGTTAATGTGTAATGTAACGCGATCCCAAAGAGAAGAATCCGCTCCGAGAAGAACAAAAAGAGGGCATGTTTTTAAGGAAACAAATAGGCGCGCCATGAGGCGCACAAGTATATGCGCGTTTGACACGGAGCACGCTGAGTGCACATAACTAATTTATTCCCGCATGTGTGGTCTTTGCATACACGCAGAAGGCGTGCAAGAACCTGCTTGTAACCACCTGTCTTTCTTTCGCTAATTGATGGTGCACTTCAGCTTGGGGCGGAGTGTAAATACTGTAGCCCATTATTGGAAAAGCAGTCACATCTGCCTGCTCAACACCTCCCTTCCCAACCCAACCCAGCCCCCCCATGTACATGTAGATAAACCCCACTCTAAAGCCAAACCTGGATCCACTCCATTAGAGAAACAGCGATTAATGGCACATTCAACTCATTTTGTGGTATACAGTGACATTTGACTGTGGGCGGACTGAAGATCATTTGCAATTTTGAGGGGTCCAGCGTAGGACCTTTTCTCAGGTCTACTTTTGTGAATCTTTATATTATTCTTTAGCTCCGACTCCTTAGGGTGGGTGTAAAATCGTACTGAAATCAGGCCTGTTTGCAATTAATGGCACATGCTCTGTGTCTCGCAGAGCTCAAATGATTATCCACATATATATGTACATATCATCTGCGAAGTGGGGGTGTGTGGCTTACACTCTATGGCGATCTGTCTCGCGATGTGGTCGATGAATTTGGCCCTGTTACTGAAGAGGCTGCCGCACTCGGCGCAGGCAAATCTCTTCTCCTGGGTGTGACTGCGCAGGTGCTCGGCCAGCTTGTACTTGGTCTTGGTCACAGAGTCGCAACCTGAGACAAACACGAGGTTGATTATAGAAGGCAGAGCCTGGTTTTTGTACCTGGGGAAGTTCGATCAAGGACCATGGTTTACCATAGTTCAACAAACTCTGATCGAACGGACGTCAGTCAACGACGGTTCAACCAGTCTAGTCAACTATTCGTGACCAGCCTACTGAGGTAAGTGTTCCATGTACATGTATATACCTTACCATACACAGATCTGCCTTGTTTCATATTTTATCTACTTGTCCACGACCAGGCAACTTCTTTTAAGCCATCCACGGACCCCAGCACAGATTGACATCACTGGTTATGTTCGAATTACATGGTTGCAGCTACCAACAACACATGCTCATTAATGATAAATGGCTACAGCTGCTTGCTAGCTCCATCCATAGATATTCATAGTGTTTCAAGCCGTAGCCAGGTAATTCCAACACCTTCCGACACTCCAAACAGCTTGCCACACATACATGATCAGTGTTGTCACCAGCTTTTTATGTTAACGTAGGGGGCAAGCTCCCATGGGGGGTGGGGGTGGCAAGCCGAGGACTGGACATTTTTGGACACCTGGGGGCGCTGTTCAAACACTTCTGTAACATGTGTTAAAAGTTACTGTGTTAGAGTGAGCTAGCTACCGGTACAATACCCTGGCAGTAATGCATTTATCAACAAGAAATTGAATAGTAATTGTTTCTGTTTTATCTTTTGCAATAACAAATCAATGACATTTTTTTTTATCAATGAATATACGACAGTACCCATCCCCCTTCAATTGGAGGTACTCAAGCCATTTACATTTTTGGCGGGGGTTAAAATATGTGCTTATTTGTTGAAAAACTTAATGATCTACAGTGTGTGCACCGGCAAAAATCACGCTTAGCAAACTGCTGAAAAGCATCCAAACCACAACATCAAATTCACGCATTAGAAAAGAAAATGCCCACAGGAAGAAGGAAATGAAATACTGAGAACTATCTCTGGAATTTCAGCAGCTTCTTTCTGACATCATTTTGTGTTTTACAATGAACAGAGAAGTACATGTACAGTGTGAACCATGCGGCATATTTTCACGACTGACTGGAATCTTGTGTAGTCTGGCCCAGATCATGTATTGTAGGGCCAACACATTGCTGTAAAACGGAGGGAACCAGTCTCCATCATATCACGTAGCAAGCGCAGCACGTGGTTTGTTTTTTCTCCACTGCAAAGTTTGTCGACGACGCGTCTTGTGCGTGACACGGGCGTCTATTTGTGACACTGTGCCCAAATACATGCATCGTCGTGGCAGGTGCGACTTTTGTTCCGGTTTTCGGTGCACTTTGCTGATATTTCTGTGTCTTTGTACATTTACGTGGCTGAGGGTTGTAATTTCTAGCCACACCCAAGGTTCTGGAGAAATTTGCTGCAAAAAAGAGTTATCTTCCAGGCCAGATTCTAGCATCACAGCCCAAAATGTTAGCGTCAGAGCGACCTACGCTAAAATGCTCTGGCAAGAACACTGATGGTGTTGTGGGAAATAAACGTGACTGATTCTCAAAAAATACACAAATACAAAAACTGCCGAACTCTTTCATGGCTATGGGGACCTAAATATATGAAAACATTAGATGGCCTGATGTTTCAATCCTGGCAGAAATTTTCTGAAACGCAAAACATGATTTCATCAGACTGAGCACAACCAGAGTGTCTCCCATAAAGTTGCCCATCTAGTAGTGCACAGAGAGATTTAGAAATAGAAGAGATACATACCTTCCCAACGGCAAGGGTATGTCTCTGTTTCCCCCACCATCACCGGATCCTCAATCATCCCATGATTGTCGGCGTGGCGGTAGAAATGCTCCGCGTTATCTGTATAAAACTACAGAGAACAGAAAAACTGATTTCCCGAAAATTCTGCAACCACTCAACAGCCCCACGTGGCTCATTCCTGAAAACGCAGCTGTCTTTTTCAATTTCTGGCTGCAGAAACCATGAAATATAGTCTGGTCAATGCCACAGTCATCTCAGCCAGCCACAAGAGAAAACAAGACCAAGGTAGCTCTGACTCACCTGACAGTCACGCCAGTAGCAGACAAACCCTTCCGGTAGCTCGGGGATCAAGTTTCGCGTCGTCTCTCCCAGGATGCACTGGCCAAAGTCATTCTTAGACTGCTCCTGTTTGGCCCACCACTTGATCTTGGCATGGTAGGCATGGAAGTACAGGTGCCGGACCAGTGTCATTTCACCATCGGTAGTAGTGAAGTTACATCCTGTCCAGTCACACTGTAGCTCGTCTTTGGCAGGACGGAAAAAAATGCAAACGACAGAAACAAAATCCAAAACCAAATTACTTTCAGAGTGGTAATTAATTTGTATTATCTCAACCTTACATCTCAAGAAGTTGTAGATCTTTCACGCACAAGCATAGTTATTTGGCCAAAGACAAAAATTACTGTTTAGTTGAGCACTCATTTTTTTCATCAATTTTTTAATTGGAAAAAAATACAATCTACGTGACTGGATTGGTGGAAATGTAATAATTTGTTTGGCTTGCCTACTGCTACTGGTTGCAACCATTCATGACGTAGGCTTTCCTTTGCCATAGGTTACCAGCCTAAGGCCATGCAATGAACATTTTATGTGGCTGGTTCCCGGCCAACACTTGGTCAGCCATGCTCTTTGTTCTGCAATGCAATGTACTTTCATTCAAGCGGTAGTCTTGGTCCCAGATTGGATTTAGATTTTATTCCCAACTCGGCCGATTTGAAAGGTCTACCTGCATCTGAATCACACACAGGAAAGCTCAATCATCGATCGGTGCACTGTAAACATTCTTTTTACTCAATGCACGTTATTATGCTAGCTCACACATGCGCATGTGTAGTGCACTTGGAATTTCTTGAGTAGACATGCCAAATATGCCAAGACTGAAATTGATTGGACTTCTTGAAAGTGCCCTCTGTTAGTGAATAATTTTTTTGCAATGACCAGGTATCTGTGCGTGCAAAATGTCGAGGGGGGGGATAAATTCCAAATCAAGCCGTACCCTGGGTTGGCGTTATTTCAAAGTTTTTGTAGTTTTCGGCATTGACGCCGTCGGGCAAGATAAGATTCACGTGGTCGTTGACGTGGAGCAGGAACTGGTCCATGTGGCTTTCTGTCACTCCGCAGCTCTGCCATTCGCACTGCAGCATCATGGGCTTCTTCTTCAGGTCTGGGGGCATACTGGCTCAGAGTGGACGCCGCCGGATCCAACCGGTTCCGACTGGTTCATCAAGAGGATATATTGGAGCTGTTTCAAAGCTTGCTAGGCCTAAAGATGCATGTCCAAGATTCTCCACCGGGTGCCTGTGAAAAGTGATGTACATCACAGTACATGTATAAAAAGTAAGACTTGTCCAGTAAGTGCATGCTTGCAGGGGAAGGGGCGGTTGGTGATGAACGAAGGCTATCCCTTTCCTACGACCCCACCCCAGGACCCTATTCCATCAGACAAGATCACCTACCCTTCCAACTAGAAATTCCAAGCTCCTCCAACCCCCTGTCCCTGCCCAGATCACATGTCAGGCCATGAATTTGTTTCACATAGATGTGGATCGCGATCAGTGATCAAGGCTGGTTGGCGGTATCCATTAGGTGGGTTCTGCTTTCAGGAAACCAACGACAGCTCACTGATCGCGATTCGGATCCGCTTGAAACAAACATAGCGGAGGTTTGGTCGCACTCTTCAAACACTCCTAAAACACCCACTCCTTGCATTGCCCGGATCATACATGTACATGTATGTCTTGGTTTGGTCGCACTCTCCAACCCCAAGAGTGAGGCTTTGGGACACGCACTAGAAGTATTGTACATACAGTCAAGACCTCTTCTGACCATCACAAGACCCAACAAGACGAGCTTGAGATCCCCGGCCTGAATTGAAATCATAATCTATTCCAATGTATGACACTTTTTTCACCATTTTGCTAAGTAGATGCAGGGGGCAACTAGAACAGTGCGAGCATGGAGGAATTCCTCCCTGGTGCAACCCACCCATGGATAACTTGCCCAAAAATATTTGACTCAAAACTTCATTTTTTCTCCTCCCTACTACAAAAAATCACAAACCCCACATTTTGCAGGAAACCCTTGCTTTCAGGATCTACCTCTCATCAGTTTTAAGTCTCTTGAATGACGACATTATTTATTTGGAAACTCATTTTCTTAAATAGGACATTGTGATTAAACCTCGTCTTTTTTACACGCTGTACATGTAGCTCCTCTCTTTAATTTCCAATTTCAAAATTTTGGAAATTTGAAGTGAAGCCAGCATTTGATTCATTGAAATAAGGCACAAATAGCATTAAGAACAAAGATTTTACAAAAAATTAAAAATAGGACTTTCTAGGTTTTCAGTTAAAATCCAGACTCATTTTCTTATACAAAATAATCACAGTTTGCTTTGCATTACACGTGTACAAAAAGCATCTCAAAACATCCCCACTTCAAATCAACTTTCTTCGCTGAGTGGGATGGAATCCAAATTTATATCAAAATATAGCTCAACTGAGCTGAGTGGAGAGTTGGTATTCTCTTATCCAGTCCAAAATTCAAAGAGGAATAGTAACTCTCCGATCAGTAGAGTTAATCAAAATTGTTTTTCTTACGACAACCTCTCCACACTCCAAGATCACTTCAATTATTAAAACAGAAAAAAAGGTTTGAAAAATTTATTAGCCTCCCTTCATGTGCAACCAAAACAGAATACAGTGTAGGCCTAGTAAAAATGTAAAATTTTTAATGCCCTCCAAAATATCTGAAACACGACACAGCCTTACAAGTTACAGGTAAGTACATGTACCAGGGCCCACATCCCCCCTACATGTACATAGCCTACTAACTTGGCAGTATTTTTCATTAGGCCTAGTAGGCCAGCCTAGTACTATACAAAATGTAGAAGCAACATTACTCCGAGTAGGGTACAGAGTATTACAATATTAGCCTTGGGTAGTACTCCTACTCCTAGAACTTGTAGAAGGACCATTTTTAATTTTATAGCTCCATGGTATAGTAGGACAAGCTTCTGAACTCTTCCATTCGACAAAAATAGAATTTGAATCTCACCAGTGAAAATGGTTTCCAACTGCGAGCTCAAAACCGCAAGATTCAAGAAGACGTAGAAATAGACTGCAGACGTTGGGTCGGAACATACATGTACATGTACATGAACATAATGTAGGAGCCTAAGGCCAGCTATGCCTACACAACTCCCCGAAATAACGCGCGTTTATCACTTTTTCATTATATTGTAAATATCAAGTGCGCCCCCTATTGCTGAGCATTATTGGTGCATCAAAGAATTTCGTTTACCCATACTTTTGACCTAATTTGTCATAATTAATGGAATAAAGGAGCTATTAAAACACAATTGCTGGAAGCGTTAAAATAAATGATTTTGTGTACAGTATTGCTATATTACTCCACGAAATTTCACTTTTTGTTCTCGGATTTCAAACATTTTTAAAGCGATTGCGCGCAGATTGTCAAAGAGTTCATGCTTTAAGGTGTTGTATTCTTTGTGACACCGAGATCGGGAAAAGCGTAGTTTTAGCGGAAAGTAGCTTCGACTCACACGAAAAAAGCGTAGACGACGGCGTTAATTTCTCCGGTAATCATGGAAACAGAGGGGGGAAATCAACAGGATCAGGGAAGCGAAGACCTTGAGCTGCTTTGTGAGTTATTTTGAAGGCCTTAACTTTTAGAATTATTGCTATTTTTCAAAATCTCATGGACTTTTACGAGCAACGTTACGCCATCGGGTTAGGCTAGGCCTGGGCATGTACGTACATGTACACATGTCCATACGCCACTGTGCATGCGATCGACCATTGACAAAATGATGACATGGTTGACATAGGATGGACAGGTTCAAGCAATGACCAGTTATTAACCAGTGGTTGGTTCGTCACGTACCTAGCCATGAACAGTAAAGTTGAAGTGCGAACGACCCTACTCCTGACCCGATCCCCACTATGCCTAGTCAACCGTTGTCGGGTCGCCGAGCATGCCGAGGCCGAAGGGAAGAAAAAGTGGCCGAACGAAGGTCAAAATAGGCCTACCAAAAATAAAAGTGAAAATGGTCGTTAGAAGTGACATACCATGGAGGTAGGAAGAGATGCGTACTGTTTGTAGTGAGTGTCATTTTCTTATGACTGGTCCTCTAGACTCTGCACTTTACTGTTAAAAATGGTTTATGGCAATCAACAATGCGACTAACCTCAATAGGCTGATCGCGAATACTAGTTGACTAGACTAGTTCAACCATCATCGACAAGCTTATGTTCAATCAGACTTAGTTACCATGGTTACACCATGGTCAACTGTGGTCCTTAATCAAACTTGCCATGGGCCCGTCGACATGGTCGATGCTGTGTTCGGAGCAAAGCGGCGGAGTCCATACCTTTCAATGCCCATGATCTATAGAGTTCAGTGGACGTATTTTTGAAAACTGTGGCCAGTCTTTCTGTCTTCATGCGTAAATACAAAAATAAATTGTTGCATAATTATCTCATTAATGACTAAGTTCTGTGGTTTTTACTTTTTTCCACGGGGTTACAGGTCACCATCAACGACTATACATGTGTGTATAGCACTCCCTACTCACTTTTCGTCACATGGTTTGAACTTTACACACTGGGGCCTACTTGGATTTTTAGTCTATTATTAATAATCATAGCTCAGGATTTAGCTGGTTACAAGTGGACGTCGCCCTCTTTGACGTGTATACGTCAGAGCCTATAAAGGTTATTCAACATGTTTGAATTTACTCTAAATTTGAGGAGGGTCTGTGGTCTAATGGATGGTGCAACACCTTGAGATCACATGACACACTTCCAGCTGGATTCAAATCCCAGCGATTGTCTTTTTTTTTCCTTCCCCCCCCCCAAAAAAAAATTAAGAATGTTCTTGTCTTGTTCATTGTACATTGACTCCGATGCTTGATTACAGAGTTTTGCATTTTCTTTTTCTGATTCGTGGCTCCGGAGGTTTCTCTAAGGGAAAAAAGTCCAAAATTGTAAAATGGTCGGATTCCCACCTCTTGAATACAAAGTTGTAATGACTATGCTGACACTGAGCCAGACTAAGATTTGCCCTGGTAAGAATTTCTAAGTCCAAAAAAAAAACAGCTACAGCGCATGTGCCCGGCAAAATATCGTTTAGTATAAATTTGCCTGCACTGGGTAAATATACATGCACCTGTACACTGCCTTTTTGAAATCACTTCTCCCGTTCCCGTTTCCAACTATACTTGCGCATATCCTTCAACTGCAGTCATTTCAACTGACGAGTTTCTTTAATTATTAATCATTTGACACAGGGTGTATCGACTGCGAGAAGTGCCACGGTCCAGAATGTCCCCTCCAGCAAGGCAGCGCACCCATCCTGATCAGCGACACCCCAACTATCTCCCGTGCCGTCGCTTCGCTACCGGGGATCTTGGATCTTCGCACCATTAGCGGCACGAGGCAGGTCATTGCCAACGACAGCATAGCCCGGAAGACAGTGTTTGGTCCACTAGAGGCCCTGGAGACTAGCTGCGATGGGCAAGACGAGGGATTTGTCCTGAAGGTAGCGGGAATCCAATCAGCATTTCCATCATCAGCTATATAGCATTCACAAAGGATTTGACTGTTTTGGGATCTTTTGAAAGTTGAGAGCTTACATTTAAACCTGTTTCAAGGTTTATATAAATGATATCAGACACATTGTACACCCGATGCTAAATGTTGACTTTTATGCGTAGAACTAAGAGCTGACACTTTGACATGAATAACAAAAATCGATGGTGAGAAATTGCAGACTCTATCAAAGTAAAGCAAGAAAAACAGTGCAAGAGGTTAACCCTAACCTTCCCCAACCACACAGAATTACACAGTAGTAAAGTGTTTAATTCTGGGGGGATAGGTCAGGTAGGCCCATAACAGCTGGCTTTTGCACCGGGTTTGGCATACCTCAGAAAAACAAAGTCCAACAGCCTCTGTGCACTAAGTCCCATATGGGTGTTTAATTAACTTAGTTTGAATGGGGAAGGTTAGGGCCGGCAACCCTTGGGGGGTTAGGGTTAATGTGAATAACTATTGGTCATGACCATTTAGGCAAAAGAAATGTTTCCTTTGCTACAAGCATTAAATAGCTGGACAATATTCCTGTGTCTACATGTAGGTTTTCAAGAAAGATGGTGCTGTGGTCAAGCTGGACACATCGGACGAGCAGCGGTGCAACTGGATGACCCTTGTCACCGCGGCCACCACCACAGCCAACCAGAATCTGATCGTCTACCCGTTCCAGGGTGCCCTGTACTTCACTGTCATCAAGGACATACGAACTGGGGAGGTCTTGCGAGTCTGGTATGCCCCCAACTATGCCGCCAAGCTGGGACAGCCGCTACTGAATGGTAATCCTCGTATGAGTTGGATTCCATGAGCATTTGATGCTTTGAATCTTCCTTTGGATGATTCAGATGTCAGGACCAGTACGCGTCCTACCCTTGAAAAGCACCGAACATATGTACAGTTTTCAAAATCAACCCTAACTCACTATGGCCTTTTTTCTAGGGCACATCCTCAATCCTCCAAAATCCTCCAATTGCCCAACCGCAAAAACGGCAGACGCCTAGACCACTCAACCACTGAGCTTGCCGGGGTCGGCTGGCCAGTCCTAGTCAGATGTTGCAGCGGGTACCACAAACTATTTCCAAAGATGTTGTGTCAAGGAGATGCTATTTTTTTGGCTTTGCTCCTGTTCTCACAAAAGGCTGACAGTTAATAGGTCGTTACAATGGTCCTGCTGCAAATAATTGGGCTTATATCGGAGATGTCAATTCATTGTTGCTATTACAGAGTGACAATCTGTAATTACAAATGAAAACTCCAAGATTTCCACCTTTTGAAAAGTGATGTTGTCACTTAAAATCCACGTCTACTTAAATAATCATCTCATGCAAAATTCCAGATTTACTAATCTGTATATTTTCCAGAATGTCAATATATCAACCGTCTTTTTATAGATGTCAATTCGTTGCCGCTATTACAGAGTGACAATCTGTAATTACAAATTAAAACTCCAAAGACGTGAGTTCAGAATCACGCTCAGGGAAGGATCAAGCAACGTGTATCCAGGGGTTTCAGAGTGTGACTCCGTAGCTGACTTTCTTTCTTTTTCTTTTTTTTCGTGGTCTTGCCCAGATACATGTACTTCAAAACCTTTGGATGAGACTCCAACAGCAGGTGCATCATCTGCTGAAGACACCGGTGTGAATGCACTCTCTGATATCAGCACAACCTTGTCCTCCACTGATGCATCAACACTCGTCAGCAAATCAGCAATAGCATCTGCAGGGGCGGAGGATACGTCCATTTCAACACCCTGGAGAGCCCAGCGTAGGATAGTCACGCGATCAAACGCCCGGGCCCAGTTGGCATCAGGCTCTTCCAGGAGGCGACAGAACCGAGCCAAAAAGAGGGGTCCCGTCTCAAAGAAGCCAAAAGCAAGTCGTCCTTCCAAATCCAAATCCGTGAAGGATGTGGACGCTGCAGGAAATGATGATGAAGATGATGAAGAATTTGATGAAGCTGATGAAGAAAGCGAAGAAGAAGAAATGGTACCGTTTACAACTCTCTCCATGAGGGGTCGACCAGTCAAGCGCAAGTATGTAGTCAGTACATTGTTAGGTAAGGGCAAGAAGGCAAAGATGATCACAACGAGTAGAGTGCAGTCTCAGTCCAGTGGCGACATCACCGGTGAGAAACAAGCCCGCAAGGTGGTGAAGAAACACTCAAGAAATACTACCAGCTGGCGCCGAAGCGCAAAGCAGCAGGAGCATCCAAGCCAGCCAGGCAGACGGACAGCATCGTCGCCAAACCTCCCAAGAGAATCCGGAAGAATTCTCACCTGCCTGAGAAAGAGTACAGACAAATCGAGGAACGCATCTGGGATGAGAGCCAGCGGTCCTGCTACAGTTGCTCGCAGGTGTTTGATGACAGCACCCAGGTGAAGGAACACCTGCTGAGCGAGCACCAGCAGGAGCCCATCCCCTGCCCTGACTGCAAGAAGTTTGTCCTCACCAGCGAACAGCTCGCGGAGCACACCGCTGCCATCCACCGGGAACCCCCAGATGCCTCCGTCGACGACGCGCCCACCTACAAGTGCCCCCTCTGCGACAAGCAGTTGCTGCACCGCCGCACCTTCCACAACCACCTTGAGTTCGTCCACAGCAAGACCTTTCGCTGTGACACCTGCGGCGGGCAGTTCTGGAACCGCTCCAAGTTCCTGCAGCACGTTGGGGAGCACCGGCTGCAGGGCGAGAACGTGAATGCCGAGGAGATGTACACCTGTGACAAGTGCAAGCGGGAGTTCACCTGCCTGTCAGGCCTGAGCATTCACAAGGCCTTCGCACACAAGGAGAAGTCCTTCTCCTGCTCCCACTGCGACTACACCACGCGCTACGAGCTCACTCTGCAGGAGCACATCCTGTTCAGCCACCCGGAGAACGACCTGGGCATCCCGGAGTCGCAGAAGCTCCGCTGTGAGGTCTGCGATGCCGTCTTCCTTCGGACTCGGACCCTCAAGCACCACATGATGAACCACAAGAAGCGGGAATTCAAGTGCAACAAGTGCGACGCTGTCTACCGCCGCAAGGAGACGCTGCTCCATCACAACTGCCTGACGGCGCGCCGCCGCACCGTGGCCCTGGACGTCGTGGACCTCACCGAGCCGACAGCGGGCACCTGCAACATGTTCGAGTGCCAGCAGTGCAACAAGATGTTTGCCAACCAGGCCAGCCTGAAGCACCACGCCAAGACGCACCAGGACAAGAACTACACCTGCAGCGTCTGCAACAAGGAGTTCCACAAGCGCTTCAACTTTGACCTGCACAAGTACCAACATCTCCGCGTGGCCACCAGTGAGGATGGCAGCCGGGAGCTGATCCAGGTCGGAGAGGAATCAGTGGAGAAGCATAACTGCCACCTGTGTGAAGTTCACTTCACCAAGATGAACCCACTTATTCAGCATCTCCAGGTAAAGACTGGTAGCCCCAAATGTCCAGTGCTTTCCAGAGCTGTCCAGAAATGGAGCGTTATATAAATTTTGAGTCCAGTGGTGACATTTTTCTCTCCCTGTTACATGTGACCTTTGCAGTAGGACAAGGAATAAATTACTGGAATTGACTTTGCACTGTTTTTGTTTGTTTGGCAGGTAATCTGCATTACTTTAATCACTCTTTGAAATTACAGAATTAGTTCGAGACTTTCATGTTATGAAATCTTGTGTCAAATGTAACCGGACAAGAAAAAAATTGGACTCTGGATTTATGGAATGGCCCAAAGGTATTCGTGCTTGCTGGCTACAGAGACCTGAAAAATACAAATTGAGAAAGTCAAAGGACCTGACTTTTTATCCTAGCAGAATCGTTTTGGAAGATTCTGCGAATTAGTTTTGAAATGCCACGCCCTCCAACTTTTTCAACTTCTGTCGCAAAAAAATGAATAATCAGTCATCACCCAAATGTACAAAAAGCTTGTGGTTAGTTGTCGTATTTGTTGAGTTACAGAGATCTATACACGTTTACACAGAGCGACAGTTTGTTCACTTTATGTTCAGGAACTATAAATCCACTGACAAACAGAGACCTTGTTTTGTTTACAAACCTTGCCCACCATTTTGTATGGGCAGCCATTGTTGTCCACAAGATTTGCCTCAACGTGCACATTTTGCTTCCTGGATGTAACATGAGAGGCATATTAGTGGAAATATTTGTTATATAGTGTTTTAGTAGTTCATGAAATTTTGTCATACTTTGTGAATTGTTTTCATGATTTTGTACTCACTACCTGTTCTTATTCTTGACAGAGCTACCACAGTTCGGCCATTCCAGAAGTTTACGTCTGCACACCCTGCCAGAGGTTGTTCCTGAGCCGGGAGGAGCTCTCTGCCCACGTGGCCAACCACACCCGCATCACCCTGCCCAAGGGCGTGACCCTGGACTCCCTCCACAGCTGCCCCATCTGCGGGCGGGTCTTCAAGGCGGCTGGGAGCCTAACATCGCATATGAGCCTGCACACGGGCGACAAGAACCACATCTGCGAGGTGTGCGGGAAGACGTTCCGTCGGGCCGACTCACTGAAGTCACACCGCTTAGCTCGGCACGACACCAACAGCAAGATGTACAAATGCAATGTGAGTTGTCAGTGTAAAGATAATTTATTTCTTACGAGCTTCTGGGTACTATACTGTGGCGCATGACAAGAGTACTGTTTTATTACAAATTCAAGAAAAGCACAAGTTTCGAATAGGTTTCCTTTGAGCCCTTGTCATATGGCACCTGTGGCTTTCAGAACTTCAGACTGATCCCCTTTTAAGAAAGACCCTGACAACTGTGTGTTGAGGATAACAGGAATTGGTTCAGATGTGTCTTGCGAGTTTTTGTTGTAGTTTGAACTGCTAGACCCAAGTATGAAGAGCGAGTGTCAAATCATAGAGAGTGATGCTGGCACAAGTAATATTCACACCAAATATTCCCCTTTGGATGACCATGGGGGATCAACATT